GTGAATTTTGAGCACTTAAAAATCACTTACCGCTGATTTGCGTGCACCTATTTCTTGCACGTTAGCAAAAACTGCAGACGACAAATAAAAGGGCACCCAAAAACAGAATAGCCAAGTATTCAAAGTGACTATTTAAAATGTACTCTTGTGTACAGAGAGCAAGCCTTTCTGTCTAGTAAACTGATAGGAATCGCTTCTGGTTAAATCTTAAGTACAAGTATTACAGTGAAACACTGTTGGACAGTGCTCCGTCATCAATCAGTCTGTGTTCTTGAGGACACTATTTTTCGAGATGCTTTCTTTAAGAATAAAGCCCTGTGTTGTAATGAATGTGTGCTAACTGATCCCCCAAGCCATTTGTATTTTTTTTTTTTTATTTGTATCAGTGTCAGAGTTGAGCTTCTGTAAGAAATTTTTGCAGTATTTTATTTGTAGTCTTCATTATTTCAAGTTGAGGACACAAAACTCTTTATGCACCCAGAGTTTTCGCTGGTTCGTTTATATCCCGTATTTTGTTAACATGTTACCGTGATTGCTAATTTTCATGACAATTGTTATTGTACCATCAGTGCTTAATGGCAAGGCATCATTATTCAATGCTGGTCAATCAGGCACTAAGACATGTGCAAGACATCAGGCTGAACCCATATAGATGTCGTGCACTCCCCTGCTAATGAATGCGGTTTTGTAAAAAGGTTTAAACACGGTTGGCATCCTTAATGTAAGGTTTGCAAAAGCTTATTCGGGAACTGCTTTGTGTTTATACGGAGCAGATCTAAACATGTCACAAACAGAGTTAGACCCATTGTGTGTGCGTGTGTGTGTGTGTGTGAAGCTACAGAGAGGAGCGAATCATTTTGGGGTTTGAAATGTGGAAAGGCAGCACAATTTCTGCCACGGCAGGAGTGGGGGGAACTGATTTTCCAGGGACATCAGTGTTTGGTAACGGATGTGGGGCTTGTTCTCCAAAGTGGTGGTTGCCCTGTACATCAGAGGTGGTCCCCGACAGCGGTCGGTGTCATGCATCAGCTCACAAAGTTGTCCCTGGCTCCAGTGCACCGGTGGTTGGAGGTCAGGGACTGTCACCAGAAGCCAGGAAAGAGGGTCAGGCATTTAGAAAGGAGGAGCAAAAGGCAACTCAATGGGAGTGGGATGCGCTTTGCCTGTTGTTCACCCAGCCTGTTCTTGGACCAGTTAACCTTCCCCTCGCATCTGCTTTAGTTACTCTTTCTATGTGGTTTTGCACCCGAATGCTTTGGGCTGCTGTCCATGATAAACTAGATGGAACTTGGTTTAAAAAGCTCAGATTTGTCGTCTCTTCTAACTCAAAGTAGAATGAGCCCTTGTGCTCTTAGAGTTTTGAGTATGAAAGGAACAGTAGACGTTGGCTGTTAACGAGCTCCAGCGCGCCGGGCTCCAGCGGAACTTGGTGTGAATTCAGTGCCTAAGCTGCATCGACTAAATGGTTAATTCATCTCATATCAACAGCACTATGATTCATAATGTAAACTTGAGGAATCCTTGATGTTTCAGTCACACATTCCTCTTAATTTGGCCATGCATTCTTTTAAAGCTACAGTGTGCTAACTTAATAAAATGCAGCATGCAAATGCACAAGTTTTTGCCTTCAGGCATTTTAGCCATGGATGTTTCAATGGGTGTCTTCTTTCAAGTATATATTCTTTCTTAAATTATTTACCCTGTAAACATGCTTTGCATTTTCAAAGAAGATTCTGGGCTTCCTCATTCACCAGATTTCGTTGAATTTAAGGTGTAATAGAGATAAAAGACTATCATCTGCTTCTTGCGAGCATCTTAGCCTTTGGGATTTTTTTTGTAGCGAATGTTAGGCCCCGTTTTCTTCTCCTTTGGTATTATCGCTCCCTCCCCCACTTAAATTCCTTGATGCTTTGCCTAGAGCAATACCCACTGGCAGTGTCTGGCTGTGACAGTACTATAGGCTTCCCTACAGATGGGTCCTGCCAATGCCAACCATTGTTCTACCACTGTGAGCTGCCTTGACTGTCTTGGATCACTCAGAAACCCCCTTTCCTCTTGATTTTTTCTTTACTCCGAAGGGTAGCCCTTGCCTGTTGACTCTGAGATCTGCAATGTGCTGACACCCAGAACTTGGCGGTCTCTGAGCAGCAGCTCCCAGACTCAGACCTGTTCAGCCCTCCTCAGGACTGTCCTCCTGCTTCCAAAGGGCTCTGTCCTTCTCCTCCCAGCCCCATCCTTCGGGCAGTTTGCAGTTAGTTTAATTGTACTTGCTCACTTGAAAGTAAAACAGTAAAACTCGATGTTATTCTTTTTTTAAAGATATAAAAATTAATCTTTTAACTGTGGGCTTGAATATTAAAAGTATATAATGCTTCAGTGTAGGAGTCTGTTGATAACATCCATCCTATTTCATGATTAATTTGTTCCTTTTAATATGATATTCTTTTGCTGCACTGTGCAGACTAATTCAGATTCCTGGAAATTGAACTTTGATATGTATTTCCTGGATTCACACCGTAAGTGAACCTTCAATTAGCAGATACAGGTGGCAGCACGCCTCGCTCAGTTTTCTCTTGACAAGGATTTTAGAGACGTGGACACTGATTAAATAATCTTGCAATTTGGCCTGTAGTGCCAGAGTTTTAAAAATAAAGCATTTGGAAGATTTGATCCTTTTTTAATTTTTTTCTTTAAGTCTCAGACGATGAAATGCTTTTTCAGTGGGCCAGAGATAGGAGGAGTTGATTTAAACACTCAGTATGTTATGTATGCCTTTGCCTAACTATGTGTTAGATTAAGCGAGTTTCACTCACAGTTAATCCTTTGTAAATTAGCATTATGGATGCCTTGGGGCCCACATCCCACAAATAAAATGGTTGTCAAGCCAGCTGCACTGTGTATTACTTAAGGCTGAATGTTTTAAGAGTTTTCATGCTTTTAATCTATTTCACTGCTGAGTTTCAATTTTGCTGAGTGTCTTTTCAGGAGTGATGAGGGTGAGTGAGTAAATATATATTCTGGTTTTCGTGCATTTGCCTGGGCAAATCGTTTGTTATCAGGTGTTTGGCAGAGAATGTCACACCCCGCCACAAAAGAGAAGCTTGTAAGTTCAGGTGTTAAATTGAAGTGCAAACCAACAAGAACCAAAAGCCCTTAATTAGCTTTATTTTGTTAGCCTGCTACACTTTTTTTTTTTTTTAGGGGAAAAAAAAAAAAAGAGGAGTGAGAAACATCCCTCCCTCCTCCTCATCCTTTTGGCAGAGTAAATATTGCCTGTTAAGTTTGAATTAGCTGTCATCGCGAAAGAATTAATGCTGTGGTTGAGCCTTTCTAGTGAGGAAGGGAAAAATAAACGAGACAGATCTTAGTTCAGCTTTAAGTGATAAATGAGGACAAAGCAGCCCATTCATCTCCTGCTAGGAAAGTGGACACAAACACTAAAGCAGTTTTGCGGAAGACGTGTCAGCAAATGTGATCATTTTGTAACCTGTCAGGAGGATAGAGAGCTAGTCCTTTTAGAGTGTCACAGGGGAGGGTGTCTGTCTGATGTGACAGTTTTCATCCATCCATTTACTGCTTTTTCTTTAGGTGGGGGGTAAGCAAGGAAAGAGCTGGAGTTGGTTAAAACTGCATTTTTCTTTACACTTCCCAATATAATTTATATGTATATCCACCCGCGTCCAAATGAAAAACATTTACCAAGGAAAACTCCCCTCTGCTCTCTAGAGTTTCTTCTCTCTTTCACTGCGTGAAATATGCTCGTTTTAACACATTACGTTCCCTGTCTTCAAGTTGGAGCCTCGTACTTGGTTTGATGTTTCACAAAACACAGTTTTACCTCTTCTTACCATTGTTTAGTTGGTTAAGGCTCTGTTTTGTTTTGTTTTCTTTTGTTTCGCAGAAGCATGAGAAAAAAATAAAATAAGAATAAATATAACTGAGGGCTCTTCTGTTGGTTTTGTTTGGGGTTTTTTTGCTATACCTCTCCAATTCTGATGATATGCTTCATGTACAAATATGTTTTGCAAAAGTTCCTGTTTCAGGAAGAGCCTCTGAAAATATCCTTCCTCCTCTGTGAGAACCGAATAGCAAATGCTGAATTCTTACAATCCAGAATCGTCCCATAAAATGCCTCAAATTCTACTGTTTGTTGATTTATTAATTTTAATTGACCTATTAATTTCAGGCAAAATCTGAAGTAATATGGTGTCTGATTTTTAGATGCAGGGGTTTCTTCCAATAAATGATTGAATAATATTAGGACTTCCTACTTCTGGCATCTTTTTATTATTACTAATTTCCATTTTTTTTTTAATACTACATAGAAAATGTAACATTTGCCTATTACCATAAGTAAAGGTATGCTACAGAGACAGGAGAAGCTTTTACAACATAAGCTTCACAGTTTGACACTTGCTTCTTTATATCATCCTTCTCTTCAAAACTATCTTTTATACTTTTCCCTTGGTATTTTAGTACAAGTAAGTATCTCATTGACATGTGTTTCCTTGAAATCTTGTACCGTAATAGTAAAATCCCTTGAAAATTAATAAATTGTTTCTGTTCAGATTAAAAAAAGCTGTGAAGGTTTCAGAATGGCTTAAAAAATGCAATGATATTTACTGTTAGAGACCACCCTGCTTGGATCGCCTTGACTAATTATTTCATTTTTTTTTAGAAGGTTAATAAATTGTACCATGATGTATTTCAGTTATTCAAATGTGTATATAAGAGTATGCATAATTAAGAAAAGTCTAATTCTTTTCCTGAATGCAAAAGTTTGATTTAATAGCTATAGAAAGCAATGTTTGGAAGCACTGGAAATTAAAAGAAGTGAAAAACAATCAAGATACGCAGAATGGTATAGGAAATCCTAAATTTGTGGGCATATGTCTTTTCTCCAAGATATTTATCTCTGTGCTTCTTTTTATGGTTTTTATATATATTCTGCTATTTGGTTTTATTTACTGGGGGTTTTTGTCTCTTCTGCTTTTTTCCAGGATCATCCAAAACCGGATTTTGATCGTTGTTCTGGCAGTCATCGTCATCTTCACCACCATGATGGCTATTTATTTTTCTGTCAGGGGACGCTGATATCTTTGTTCTTCACTAAACAGCAACAAACTGCTTGTTCTGAGTAATTAAGACAAAGTGGTCACATGAATCATTCTCTTGCACTGACAGAGTCTCCCTCTCTTTTCCACTATTCAACTCAGGTGCAAGTGGTGTAAAATATTTTGTATTATAGATGGCATAGTGGATGGCATGTGGAGTTGATTATTTTTTTCTTAAATTTTTTTGTCTTTATCTGAGTGGTTTCAGAATCTTAATATTTGTTGGGGTCAAGGCTTGTTCCACTATGGCAAGACTTAATGTGTGTCGAATTCTACCACAGACTGTTGTTGCCAGAGTTTAGCGAGGGAAGAGGGGTCTTTGCACTTTTCTTGTGCTATGTGGGGTGTATGAATATAAAGCAGTATCTGACCTTCTGTGATAGAGAGTATAAGTAAAGCAGAGACCAAATGATGTAGAAAGTGAACCTGTCTCCTGTGACTAACTCCCGATCATGAATTGTCATAGTAGACGTAACCCGGTTAAGAACAGTAGTTAGTTTTAAAAAGAGAGCAACCTTAGGATGATGTTTAATATCTGATGTGAATCCAACACTCTATTTAACATTTTTTTTTAAATTAAGCTTTGCTTTCTGCTTATTCAAAACAATTCCACTTTCATCAAGATCATGATAACGCACCACTTACCCAAATCTAGTTGTGACCACAGCCCATCTGTTGAATCTGTTTTAAATCTTCCAGTGTTGATATATGTACTGATAAGCATACACACACTAGGCCCGTATTGAAGATGTATAAAGATACTTATCTATTCATTGCTGATTGAAAAAAAGCCCCTAAGTAATAGTTCAGTAACAAATATGTGATTACAGTGCATTAAACAAAAATCTAGATTTTTACCATTGGCCTGACTGTGTTGAGACCGCATGTTGGAAATATTTTTAGTGTGTTAAATTCTGATGTGATATACCCCTTTTTAAACAGAAACTGTAAAAATGTTAATTTATACATGCTTTTAGCTGATATAATATATCATAGTTTCATCTACCTGTGTGTAAATGAGCTGTGTTTCTCTTTTTCTATTGGCTGTGCCTTTCCTATAGACAAGTCGAGGTCATTTGGATTATAATTAAGCTTACAACTCCAGCAAAGGTCTATTTCTGGTGACATGGTAAAGTAATTTTCATTATAACTTTTCAATTCATTATATGCAATCCCTTACAAATATTACAAATTGAGAGGAATCTTGAACTTAAGCTGTAAAATCTTTTTAGAAAAATGTTCAAAGAAGCAAAAAGCTGGTGGCTTTCAAACTTCCCCCAAATTAGGTAGGACCTGAGCACTAAATTCTCGTTGTGTGCCTTAATTCTTCTGGGGTTTTGGCATCCCTGTGATCTCTGCCAACTTGCTGTGCCGTCCCTGGGAGTTGATTTTGGGATAAACATCTGGGAGTTGATTTTGGCCCTAAAAAATGTCCGCTGTTTTCTCTACTTGGAAATGAATAACTCAGCTAAAAGGATGTTGATACTGATGGCACAGCTACGGCTTTGAAAGATGGTGATAAACACAGAATAGGAGGATCCACAAGAAAAATGATACTCACTGAAAAAAATGGAAATGATGTTCGCAGATGGTCAACTGTGGTTTCTGAGTTACACGCAGATGAGTACTAAGTTAGGAAGTGGTTTCTGTGCCAGGTTTCTCTACCAGCTCAAGTCAGCAGCTCTAGGGCAGTGCTGGTACAAAAGTTCCTGGGTAATCCAAACCCACGTTTCTGGGAGGTGCTGCTCCTCACCTTGATGGCCCTGCAGTGCCACGGGGCCACCCCTGGCCACCTCCTGGGGCACCCTCTTCCCTGTGAGGTGTGTGGTGTTTGTCACACAGCGCTCGGACACGGAGAGATGTGGTGGTTCAGCTTTCAGCGTGGAGGCTGGCTGGCCTTCAGTCACAACCTGCACTCAAATTAAGCACTTTGGGTTGTGTAAGCAGAGCTCTGGCCGTTAGCTTCAAGTGATGGCACTGAGCTGAGTTCAGGCAAATTAGGAAGAAGCCTGGCAGCGTTAGAAGGTATTTATCCTCTCCTAGGCAAATTAGGAGATGCATATTTTTGTAAAGCAGAAAACTGTCAAGAAGGAAATTTTAAGCTCCGTCTGTTGCCTAGACATTCTCTGCGTTGCCTCAATAATTTAACTATCATGGGGATTGATTCATGACTACTGATCTTAACAGTGACCTATGACTAGGTTTTGCCCTCTATCTAGCCACCTGCTGGAATCAGCAAAAAGCTGAAAGGAAGCTAGTTTTCCTTATCCCTGTATAAATCTAGGGCATAGTGTCACATCAGATACATCCACTCAGATGGGAATGAGGGAGAGAGAGAGACTGCCACGCAAAAGCCTTCATCCTCACTTTTTGATGAACCCGCCAT